GTTGGCTTTTGCAGTGGGCTGTAACAACCACAAATGGATAACCTGAAAGATACTTTTGGGTATCTATGGAAACAAATAGCTGAAGTCTGCCTCAGGGTCTTCTCCTCAGATCCTTCCCCCATGCTGGGAAGGGGCAGGGAATCTCCCCCTATCCAGTACAGCGAGCAGAGAAATGTGGCAGCAGGAGCAGGGAATGGAAATGAGGAGATGAGGTAGGTGAAAAGGCAGAGGAATAAGGATGCTGGAATTCAGAAGTGAAACAAAAGAGAGAGCAGGACTAAAGGGAAAATGAAACCCAGATGAAGAGCAAGACTCTGTCCTTCCTGTAGCTTGATTCCTATGTAGTGTGTTTAGTAGGCTCCACTGTCAAGCATTCTATACTTTAACTGTTTCATGCATTTCCAAGCTCACTGGTCTCTACTATCTGTTTGCATGAGGGTCTGTGTGAATGTGCAGGTTAATRTGAAAGAAAAGGAAACCCAGAAAAATCTGTTTTGTTTGTTTAATCTTGCCAAGCCGATCCTTGAAATGTCATCTTTAATTACAAGTGAGTAACTTTTATTTTAAGAATATCAACACATATTTATCAAAGCTCAGTGACTTTCACAAAGTGTGACTTCGGAGAATATTTCAACAACTTATTTCAATAAACAAACTTATCCATTCTAATAATTTCATCCAATTCCATCAAACTAATTTTAGCAAGTGCATGYTGTCTTTGGGTGCTGTTTTATTTGCTCTGCAGTTATTCAGGTTTAACAAAAACTTCGTGTAAAAAGGAGAACCTCCAGCTGGCTGCTCATATCCACAACGCAGCAGATGCTCTATTGTCCTGCTGCTGAAATCCCCAAGAGTATAGCTAAAGGGAGCCCTCCTTGATTCCCAAACACGGCTCCTCTTCTCCTTTCACAGCTGCAGATATCATGTTCCATCTGGCTGYAGAACACCTCCTGATCTTGTCTAAATCTTTTATGACCAGACACAGCTCAGCAACTTAGCTTYCAATTTGCCATATGCAGGTATGTGAACAGACCCAAACGACTTTCTTAGGAAATAAGGAGTTAATGAGAATGCCAGCACATCTCAGCTGAAGACTCCAATGCCATATACAAACACTTAAAGTATAACATTTGATGACCCTGCAAGTGTGTACCTGCCTAAAATTAAGCCCAGAAGAGATAAAATTCAGCCCTGGATCAGCAAATTGGCTTTTRGCACATAAAGATAACATAATCTTAAATTCTGCTGTATCACACCCTGTCACGTTAGGCTTCATGTAAAAGAAAGAGTAAACTGCTGATTCTCATGTTASATTGGTGGAGATAGTGCTTTTCAGCCAGCATCAACATACATACACAGCAAAATGTAGGGGGAAGGTTTGCGTGCACACTTGTGCATGTACTGGTTTGTTTACAGAGAATCATCTGCACAGACAAGAAGAGAAAAACAGCAAGCATCTGTGCCAGAAATGGGGACAGCATCAAGAATTCTGTGAGTACTTGTCCAAGTTCCTGATGGTTTCTCTTCTGAGGAATYATGTGTCCCTCATCAAATCATCCAGTGAACTACAGGCCCATCAATTTCACCTCAATTCCTGGGAAGCTGATACTGCAATTAATCCTAGGCACATTAAGGAKAAGAAAATCATGAGTAGCCAACATRGYTTCACCAAGAGAAAGTCAYGCTTGACCAACTTAACAAACTTCYAAGATGAAGTAGATCTGCCTGGCCYRGTAGRTGAGGCAAGAGCWGAGGATATTTTCTACCTGGCCTCCGGTAGGGTCTTGGACACTCCTGTAAGATCTTCCTAGAGGAGCTGTTGATATAGGGAATGGATGAGCTGACAGTGAGGTGGACTGAAAACTGGCCAGGCCCAGAGRCTGGGTATCAGTGACACAAATCCTAGCTGGATGCCACAGGGGTCAGCCACTGGGTCCTGTTTAAGATCTTCATTAAAGATMTGGGTGATGGGGCAGACTGTACCTTGAGCAAGTTTGTAAATGAAACACTTGGAGCACTCCGGGGGCATCTTAACAATGTAATACCTGAAGGACAGACAGGCTTTTTTCCACTGGTGGCTAGCAACAGAACCAGAGGTAAGGGGCACTAGTTGAAACACAGGAACATTAGGAAACCTTTTTTTACTCTTGACAGTGACCAAGCACTGGCACAGGTTGCCTAGGAAGCATGCAGAATTCCCTCCTCAGAGATACTCAGAAATTGTCTGACATAGTCCTGGGAATCTGGCTCCAGGTATCACTACCTGAGCAGCAGGGGATGGACTATGTGACCTCTTGAGGTCCCTTCCAATCTCACCAATCCTGTGTCCAGGAAACAAACAAACAAAACCCCTCAAAATGAAACAAAACAGGAAAACCATAATTTTAAAAAATCATGAAGAATACTTAGATGTCATTTCCAATCTCTGGAAACTGCATCCACCCACTCTACACGAGCATAGACACATTTTCATTCTATATTTACATGTGTGGGTGGCATAATTTACACAAACACACACATATGCACACACAGAACTGCAGAACTGAAAAAAAAATTATTTCCTCAGCAACAGGCTGCCATATTTTATCAAAATTCTCCCAGAGACAAATGTGTACATGTTATTCACTTTCAGGGATTGTCTGCACCAGCAGAGTGACTCCTTCACATCCCAGTATCTCTAACTTCATGCACAATCACATCAGCCTAAGCCCACATGCTTCAGCTGCATCTGGCCCAAGAGCAGCTGAGCAGCCGGCCCTCAATGCTTTCCATGGATTTCAAAAGCTCTCATATGCAAGAGCACAACCAACACCAACCACAACCYGTATTTCAGACACCTTCCGAAATCCAGCTACTCCATGTTGACAAAACCTCCACATAACCAGAGTAYGTGATCATTATGTATGATGTACAGAATTCAGAAACACTGTACCTTGCTACAGCTTGTTTGGATCTCCAAGGGGTTTAAGGTATCTGAAAATTCAAGATAATTTCATGAAGGCACTAAATCCACACTCCTCAGTTCTATTCCTTTTTTTGGTTGCCATTTAGTGATTTCTGTGTTGAATATACTCACTGCACTGGTAACTGGATGTAATTAAAAAAAAGTATTACTTTGTCTTTTTTATTACTTTTTTATAAAATTATTACTCATCCTGTTTTTTCAGGTCTTGCTGGATCATTGATTGCCATCAGCAGGAGATTCTTCCAGCCAAATTATGTCTTCAGCTATACCTGAGTGACTCTGCTCAATTTAGCTCAGCAATCGGAACTTAATTAAAAATTCTGTTAAGAATTTGCTGGCCAGAAAAGACTCATCATGTCAGAGCAGCGTTCACTTTGCAGCACTGATAGGAACAGAAACTAATAAAAACTTTTYGTTCATACTAAAATGAATGCCCTGGACTCTCACTAGACAGGATGAACAACTGACAAGAGATGAGAATTGTATCAGTGGGTAGATCTGTTCTGCAAGAATTACTCTATTCAGACAATCACTTTYCAAATTAAAAAACACATCAAATAAAGGGAATCTCCATTACTACATCACAATATATGATTTTAATATACTTACCCTGCCAGAGACAAAATGTATGTGAAATGGACCCAAAGATATTCAGAGAACTGAGACAGTCAGAAGTTTTCGTTCTGTCCTTTCCAAATGGGCATTTCATTTATTTTGACCTTTAATCCATTGTCTGGTTAATTTCTATGATTTGTGTGATTACACACAGTGCAGCTAAATGCTTCTTTCTACATAGATACCTAAAATTACCTTTTTTTTAGGCTAAGTATTATATTACCCTAATTTTCAATAAATATATACWCTGATTTTGTAGCACTAAGATGATGGTGAGAGTTTTATTTCTAGTTATAGTCTGGTTTTCTATCAAGGATCTAGCTAATAATTCCACAAGAGCAAACTAAGAAAAGACAAAGAATACCATCAAAGAAACCTTAACTTCCCTAGGCTGGTGCCGGCCTGCGCTGGAAAAATTTCTGAGGTCCACAGGTCAAAACGATTGGAATAAATGGGAACAAATGACTCAGAGTCTGATAAACTTGGCTGAAAATGCTAAATTAAAAATACCCCTKAATTTAAGATTATACTTTCTGCATTTGCTCACCATTACTATATCTTTTCATAGATAACATAATCCTATGCTGAAAGCTAAAACTCTCGAAAAGAGCGGGTTGAATATGCACTCAAAATTAACTGCATTTAATACATTCCTAATTTTCTCTTACATACTTTCTATTCTCTTTTTAAAGTCACACCTTTTAGCTTGATCTAAAACACACACCTGAGAGTGTGTTGTACCTGAGTGCTCACAAACATTCAAGTATAACTTTTAAGAAAAATACCCAATGTCATTAAAAATATTACATTCCATTCTATATTCTATATTTACAGTTTGAATTTCTTTAAGACATCCTGTTTCCAGTGATCAATGAAATTATTTCCATGATTAGGCAAAATAACACAAAGCAGGGTTTTAATCAAAAATATAATCTGCAATACAAGGTAAATTGATAAGGCAAATACATTAGTTTTACTAACTGCAACAATGAATCCAAATGTAAYGCTCAAAATTTGCAAATCAAACCACTCTGCCACCAAATTCCTTGCCAACTAATAATAAAGACTCCTGGCTTTCACAGTATTTCTCCTCTTCATATTGCCATGCCTGGTGGTCACTATCATTATCTCTGCTATTATACAGCTTTTATGAAAAAAGAAGGCCTAAAGGCAGAGGTTTTATTATGCTTGATTCTTTATTCATCTTGATTTTTAATCTAGACTCCAAAGAGGAGTYCAAAGTTTTTGATTCAAACTGTGTTAGGGTTAATGGAAAATCTCTCTTCSCTCTTACAAGATTATGCCACAGGCTTCAAATTCTTTCTTCTCCTTATTGTTCTTGCTATTTCAATTTTGCCTCAGTTTGTCTATGCCATCCTAAAGTGTTAGAAGAATCAATTTTATTTTATTACACACTCACCTCAAACCACTGGCCATGTGACTGCATTTTCAAGATGACACAAGGATCTGGTTTTGAGAGGGCATCCCTRTCTGAGATGCCTTTGCATGCAACTCGCAACTCCACTTTAGTCAGGCATGGGCTGTTAAAAATTCCCAGGGTATTGGCTGCTGATTCATAGATGTTGCTCATTTTCTTCATTCCTTGTTCTGAAAGAGAAAAAAGGTCCATTAAAGATGGTGCACAGTACAGCCTTTCCTTCCACATAGAAGCCAATGCAAATTTCTGCCAGACAATAACTGTCAATAAGAACCAGAGCATGAGGGGGAAAAAATAAAATCAAAGGAATACCTATAGCAAAAAGAAATAATCATCTCATATGTTTATAAGTAAGCCAAGTTCATTACAAAATTTTCCACCATGCCTGTGAACTCTGGGGGTCAACTGTGGACTCGACTTCCAGCTCTGTTCCTATTTATAGAGCTGTGTTTCCCCAGGCCAAAGGACAGATAGACAGGTTGGCAATTCCCCATTTCCTATGACAACACYTTAACAAGGCTAAATTAAATTTGTTCAGCACTCCTCCAACTTTCTTTTATTTCTCTCTATTTCTTTTAAAGAGTATGCACTTCTTACACAAATGTTAGGCATAAATCCCACAGAAGGCCCCTTTCATACCAGCTTTAAATTCCAAAATACATTTCACTGTTTCCACACTTACTGCAGAAGATTACCTGCCCCCATTGCTAAGAAAGTAGCCAAGATTAATGTTCTAAACAGAAGGGCAGGATATTTATGCTGGCACATCTTGCTGTAATGGAGTGTTTGCTCTTTTGGGTTAAGAATCAGAGTCACATGGACAYAGATGGCTGGAATAACAGGGACTTTCAGCCCTTACTTCATTATGAACACCACCACCAATCTTGTAGCTCAAGCCTTTTCTCCCAACAGAAACAACAAAAACATTTTAACACAAAGCCTTCCAAAAATTCCCATATGACCATTTTTGCATCAATAAAGAAGAATACGGGAACACTATCATTTACACATTTGTTCTGAGCTTCACAGCCTGACCCTTTAAAAACCTGCTCCCTAATACATGGATTAGAGCCTTTGTCACCTTACCCCATATATAACAGACACAAAAAAAAAGAATCCTGTACTTCTAGAGGGCATACATCTCACCATTTTATCAGCAAGACATTTTAGTGGTCTGTTTCAAACCTTTTCACTGTCTATTCCACAACACCCTGTTCTCATACCTAAATGGTTTTTGAGAACTGCTTTGATAAAAATTAAATTTCAGAGATATGGAAATGAAAGTGAAAATTTCTTTCCCCAAATCTGCTAAGTTAAAAATAAAACCCACAAAATCACACCTATCCAGTTTTCCTTTGAATCAGAAAGGTATTTCTCAATTCAGAAAAAAACAGGTGTTGGCAATACAGTGAGAACATCTAATACATATGGACACATTTCAGGAATGTAAGTCTGAACGATRAGGCAGATCATCTGCTCCCCTAGCAGAAGAGATAAATACCTGTTAACAACTTAAAATTCTTCAAATCTATATAACTAACTGTATGACCCTTGATCTGGTGTGAATACCCCATTCACATATAGGTGAAGTCATGCTTAAAATGAAAAATAGGCAAAACTTAACATATGGAAAAGGTAACGATATTGAGCTACCTTATAAAGTGAGGGACTGGAGAGACTGTTGTCTAATTATTCATCATTTTATAATCCCATCTCCTTCAGAAAGCTGCTCAACAAGCTCATCCCACACATTTACAAGACATTTTTACATGTTGCCCTTTCCAAATTGAAATCCGTTTGAAAATTGGGTTAATTCTGTCTCATGCACATCATRCATCATTAATAAAATGTCATCCTTTGTGCAGAAACAGGCTGGTGATTTAATTAAACTGGATGATTTCAACACTGAAGAGAAGAGGAAAAAGTAGCAGAGTGAGGGGGAGAGATGTATTTTTCTTCCTCCTACAGTAATTATACACTGGTTTTTCAGAACAGCGGGTAAGCATAAAAATTATATTTCTTTTTATCACTACAGCTATTATTTCAGCTTTTGCAAGTTCTAAATTTATCAATGGAAAAGATTGAGCCACAGCCTTTTCCTTTTGTCTCATTATATTTTTCTTTTAATATAATCAGCAGCTTGGGCTGTTGTGCTGATGTCACATCACCAGGAAGCTGGAGGCCTGGAAAATAGATTTTGAGCCTACTGAAAGTAGCTAAAAAAGGCAATATTTTGCACAAACATAGACAAGTTAGATTGCGTAAGAAGATTTTGTCAATTAACTACATACATTATTGATGAAGGAAAAAATTACTCATTTTTCTATGCTACAAACTCTTCCATTTTCAGTTGATTAGAACCTCATTATTCCTGCAAAGTCCAAATTGCTTCAATATTCATTGAAAAAGGAGRAAAGGAACAGCACAGATACAAAAAGTAAGGGACATAAGTGATACAAGGTTACATACTAATAAAATTTTCCTATCATTGCTGCATAAATTCTCTCTCATTTCCCCTGGAAAAGAGGAAAGTGGTGGATTATATGCTTCCCACACAAACTTATTAGCCAGTGCTAGACTGAACAGAATGGGGAAGCAAAACCAGGCCTTCTGTTTCCCCCTCTCCATGGTACAACATCAAGAAGACAGTACAATCTGGAAAAAAATTAAAAGTGCACTATACTGAAATTGAAATGTAGTAGGTTACAAAAAAAACCAACCAAAGAACAACAACAAAATAACTACAACAGCAAAAACAAAAAAACAAACAAACTAAGCCCCCCCCCCAAAAAACCCCAAGCAAAACCCAAAAATCAAAAACAACCAACCAAACAAAAACAACCAACAAAGAATGTGTCAGATACAAAGAAAAAATGAGAACCTTGAAAACAAGTCTCTGTCTCTACTCTCTCCAAGATATTCTATATCTAGCATAMTTGAAGCTCATTTACTAGAAATCAACATGCTTCTTTGAACTTTTTTTTAGAGATTGATTGCTCAAGGTCATCTTATTAATATATATGAAGAAATTAGGAAGTAAGGACATGAAACTCAAATTCTTCCCAGTAATGCTCAGTGACAGGACAAGAAGCAAGCGGCACAACTTGAAATTCAGGAAATTATGATCAAAGAAAAGGAAACTTTTACTAGGAGTTTGGTTGAACACTGTGACATGTTTATCAGAGAACTTGTAGTGTCTTCATCCTTAGAGATATCCAAATCATGTCTGAACATGACATCCAGAACTTGTCTGGAYGTGGCTCTGAGTAGCCTATTTTAGGCAAAGGCTTGGAATAGATCATCTGCAGAGGTTCTTTCCAACCTCTTCTACTCTGTGACTAAGCAGAAGACAGCCAAATTATAAACTTTTTAGGGTACAGATTGTCTCTGTGACATGTTATTAATTGATGATTTAAGTCCCTTGGCTCCAAAGCCATGCAGAAAATCAAAACACATTCATGAGCCCTGGTACAAAGTAGTGCTTCAAAGGCTCCCACGTGTAGCTGTTTCATTAAAAGCAACAGCACAGGAGTTCAGAAAATTGTGCCTGCCTAGATAAATGGTTTACAATGAAAATCAGTGCTACACATTTGACAGCTACATCTTTCTCTGTTCAGGGGGACTATATGGCTTTAAAAATGTTCAGTTGTCTAGTGCCTGCAGAAGTAAAGATCTTTGTGACATGGAAYACAAACAGCACATGCCTCTCTCCAGGATCTTAAAGACTTGAATTCAGCTCACACATTCAGATCCACTGTAACACAAAATGGTGACCCACACAACCTCACCACAAGCTCATAACCAGCCTCCTTAGATTCACCATGAAATAAATCTAAGATGCTATCTGAATTCAGATTTCAAGTTTTCTCCTTTGCTCAGTGTCATTTTGCTCTCTTAAACACATAATGCCCAAAAAGCTTTTCTGCAAGCTGTCTGGGTGAAAAATGGAATCCTCTCTTCTACAGCACCTTGTGAAGATTCAGGTAAACACTCACATTCAGCCTCACCTTCAGTTCAGATAATGAGAGAGCAGCAAATGAGAAAGATGCTGGGATTAAAAGCAGTAACCAGTGTGCTTTGAATTTAGAAAAAGGTCTTGTTTTTTAGAAGCCTGTAATAAAAGCCAGACCAAACTACACGCAAATGAATTTGGGGGTTGCARGTTTCCCGTCACCATATGTTGCAAGCTGTGTTTGAATTGTTTTACTGGCACTTTAGTCATGAAATGAAAATGAGCTAATGGCATCTGTCTGCTTCTACAGAAGTAATCAGCAAGAGTCTGCTCCTGGAAAGGTAAATTATGTCTGCAGTACGTGCACATGGTGGGAAATACTAATGGCAGAGTTACTYGAAGTAAGAGTTGTGAATAAGTGCCTCCAAAAAAGATTAGGTCTAAAAGCACTGGATGTTGTGGCACTGTCTGCTCCATGTGTATTTATACTTATATATGGGAGAGCATTCAAAATACACAAACAGCTTAACTCTCTAGACAGAAAGCTTTGTACCTACAGTTTCTGGATCTTCCACGGTTTAAAACCTAATAAAAAGAAATATGAAAACCAAGTCTGCACTTCACAGCTTAAAATTAATAAAACCCAGATCAAGTTAAAATACAGTATGAGCAAGATTTATAGAAAAGGCTGAAATTATGTTGGKTGTTCAGGTAGAAGAGTTTTAAAAAGTTCCTCTGTTTAGTGACTTGTTCAGCTCCAGTATAATGTAGGTAATGGACCCCTTCAGGGAATTATACTAATTGAGAGAAGCAATTATTTTTAARACATTTTATGTAATTGGGATTTCCCAGTCTCTAGTAATTATTCTACCTGTTGTTGGCAGCAAGGCTTCCTTGACTGTGAAAAACAAATCCATTCTTTTGCTTTCCAGCTGTAAATAAGCTTTGTACAAATGAGGAGATGTGGGAATTCATCAGGAGGTCCTGATTCAGCAAGTTTCTACTAAGACACCTGGCTTGCCCAGGTCTGAACAGAGACCCCAGGTTGACAGGGAAAGCAGACTTATCTTTATTACAATATGTATTGAGGATTTTCCATTGTGTAAAATCTTTGTGGCTGCTGTGGCCATTGCCTTGGCCTTTCTCTGTGCAYCCCTGGAAACTCCTCAGGAACAATCAGTACTATCTTAGAACATGGTCATTCAATTACTTATCTCAGACCACATTTCTAGACTCCTGGTTATCAGCCATATCTCAAATCACTGCACAAGACTCTCGCTCCTGTTGGCATTAAAAAAATTATCCTGGTCAACATCAACTACATTATAAATTGCTACAGAAGTTTATATGATCATAGATAATACAGACAAAATGCCAGCTGCCAAGATTAATTTGAATATGAATTATTTGTAATKAAAAGTCAATAGGTTAGCAAGACCCCTCCACAAGATAATTTGTGCAATTAAAAATACAATTTTTCCTCCTCCACTTTGATTATCTGACAACTATTAGTGAAGATTTATTTAAAGTTACACCTACCAGAGTTTGATAAATGCTTTGAAAAATGAGCAATAAACTCAGTGAAGAAGGGGGATCTGCAGAATCCACAGCAATGCTTTTGTGAGCAATGAGACAGATCTGGTAATGCAGGTAATCTATTTGGACAGAAGGGGAGAAGGTTCAGAACAAAGTGCCAGCAGTGTAAATGGAAATACACACACACTGACAGTTCAAAGGGACTCATTACCACAGAACCAGCTGGTTCAATTATAAGGGGAGAAGGGAAAGTCACTGGGAAGGAATTGAGACATCTAATGCATGACAAAACACCATACAAAATTGTGATGCACCTACACAAATAACCCCATTTCAGTTAAGAGAGGGAAAATCCCCACGGTAACTGGAGCACTGGGAGATGYTCAAATGTGCCCAGCTCTGGATGCTCTGAGTGGCTCCCATTGAAGTCAGACTCAGCAAAATGCAAAGCACCTATAAGAGTCAGGGCTAAAACACATATATTCTATCATCCTCTACTGGAAAAGCAAATCTAGGATTCGCCCTGGCTCCTTTAGCATGTAGCTAATGCCATCAGTCACCTCCTACTTCACAGAGTTCCCGTTGTCTTCCTTCTTACACTGCTGTAAAATATGCAGGGGAAGARAAATCAAAATTCACTAATGCAAAAAACCAGGAGACTGAACAAATAACAAGATCAAAACAACCTTCCTAGGGATAAATGCAGACAACTACCCTACTAGAAAACAACATCAGTGCTTATTACTGGAAAAGCAGCAGAGATTTTCTCACAGAATTAACCAAAGTCTGCTTCATTTACATTCACAGGATTTGTAGCAGTCACAGAGAGTCTGCCTCTCCTGCAGCAAGGTTGGCTYACAGGCTGCTACAGAGGGTGTGTATTTGATCGTGTTTATAAAATGACGCCTTCTAAGACAATGTGTTGGTTTAATAGGATAACAGAATGAATTTTATTTGGAACAGTGTRGAAGCTAGAGAGAAAACAGACTGGCTCATCTATATGCTGACACACAGTAACACACAATTGTCCTCTTACCCACAGACTTGTTTCCTTAAATATGCCTGTCCAAAGCCTTTACTTGCAACTCAATACTGTCAAGCAAAAACATTAAATAGGCTGAGTGTTCCTCTTCYAAATCATGAAAATGGCATATTTTACCTCAGAAAACATTAACGAAAGTGGATTTGTTCTTCATTTCATTTCTATTTGCAAAGCCATTAGAACTGAGKTTCTACAGCCTTTTCTCACCATTATAAAAGTGAAAAATGCATTTAAGAAACAAGAGAAAGAAATGACAGCAAAGTTCAGGCTGTCCTATACCATAACTCTCTGAGCTGATGAATTACAAGMAGAACTGAATAATATAAAGCCCCAGCAAAATTCAGGCTGCCACAAGTAAATGATTTGCCTGCTGGATWGGGTATTGGTTCTCAGACTCTGGAGTACTACACTTGAGATAATACCTGAAGCATAGGCAGCTGTAAGCACAGGAATTAAGCCATGGATACATGGAAAAGCTTAGGACCATTGAATCCACTTCAAACACTGCACTGAGGAATTACAGACACACAAAACCACCAAATCTACTATATGCAAGTGACATGTAAGCCTAGTAAATCAGAGAAATGTAATTGAATATCTCTCTCTCTCTAATCAACAATTTCAAAGCTACTACCATCTGATACTTGACCGCTTATCACCAAAAGCCAATTTAATTTTCTTAGGCTTGCCATTTCAGTTTGCTGYTTGTGCTAAGTGATCTATTAAATGAAACACAGGAACAAAAGTATATTCACTCCAAGGATMCGCATTTGCTGCTTTTTTAAAATCGGTTCTCCCACTTAGGTATTAGAGGGAAAATAAAAGTGTCTTAGCAAGAAATGAAGCTTTACAACATAGTTACTTATCCAAGAATCTTAAATAAGTGGATATTTTGCTATACTTCAAAGAAAGATAAGCCTGGAACAAAATCAAATAACCACAGCACTCTAAAGTGTAGCAGTCAAAATCCTGATATCAAAGAAATCCAACTGAGAGCCTTCAGAAGAGGTTTGAGGCAAAATAATTCTTGAAATAATTAGACAATCCTGAACAACAAAAAAAGATGTTTAGTCTACTACATTAATCTTTGTCTTATCATCTGCACTTAAATAATATACATTTGAAATTGTAATTACCCTTTATCCACCCTGCAAAAGCACACTATTACCTACAAGAGAATTATAGAATTGTTTAGGTTGACAAGATCCCTAGGATCATTGAGTCCATGCATTAATCCAGCACTGCCAAAGCCACCACTAACCCATGTTCCTAAGCACCACATCTACACRTCTTTTAAATACCTGCAAGGATGYTGAATCAACCMCTTCCCKGGGCAGCCCATTCSAGTGCATTACAACCCTTTCAATGAAAATTTTTCCCCTAATATCCAATCTAAACCTCCCCTAGTGCAACTTGAGRSCATTTCCTCTTGTAGWATTGCTCATTACTTGGAARTGAAGCAGCAAGTTGTGTTCCTCAGCTATACTCAATTACACCAAAGTATGTACATAAACACATGTAATGCCTGAAAGAGTTTATCCATTTACAGATGTAACATATTGCAAACTGCTAATTTTCCTCAACAGATGGCTAGAGCAGCTCTTCCTGCAGCATGAAAAATGATTCTACAAGAGAAGCTGCTTCCCACTCCTGATCCAAAGACAGGCACCTCAAGAACAGCAGTGAGAAAGTACTCCCCATTTACTGTTAATTCTTGCACCTGCAGTACAACCAGAAGGCAAACCTGCTGTAAGTTACCTCAGGGCTTCCTATCAGGGTGAGAAAAACTGAATTTACCTACTGCACAGGAGTGCTTCTGGGGCCACGCTGAGCCCAAAAYTGGGACAGAGCTTTAAAGTCAAGTTGCTCTGTCAGGTAGTGCAGGAGGAGGAGAAAGGGAGCACTGTGTAGTGCTGCAGGSAGTTGCTCCCTCACTTCATAGCTGCTCCCCTGAGGTGATCCCTTTCTCAGCAACAAGCAGAACTCCTATGGCCTCCCAGGACTTTGACAGACAAGGAGCAACCTGCCCACCCTCAGGGAGCTGCTGGGCAATGAACAGCTTTACCTGATGGCTGAAACCAGTCCTGAGTTCACTCCCTTCCCAACAGAGGTTAAGGGACAGCACACTGGGTTTGTACCACTAGTTAAAGTGAGACGCTGAGCCTTTCTCGCCTTCTTGTCATTTACTTGCTTTCTATTTTCTTTCCAAGAACCTTGATCAAATATTTGAAGAGTCACCCATGAGACTTAGGCCAAGCACACATCGCCACTGTCTCAGCTAAATCAGCAAGGGATACGATCACATTGCAGCTCCAACTGCAGACACAAGAAAATCCTGAAGGAGAAGCAGCMGTGCCAGCCAAATTATATTTATATGGAGAGTGTTAATTTCTTTCCTGGATTCATTTCTACAGTTTAGTCTGACTTTCCTCTAGAAAGTTATATGCTTCTCCATATTGGGAGCATTTTGCAATCRCAGTACCACCATACCATGATAGATTCAATCTCTGAAAAAGCCAGTAGCTATTTTTGGTATCAAATTGATTCACAAAAGAATTGCAGCATGCTGTCAGCAAAAAGTCCTACCAGTGCCAAATGTATCGCTGGTGCCAGTGCCGTGCCATTCCTCTGYTGGTGTGTCCATGCTTCCCAGAGGATCTGTGCTCTATTGAGCTACCAAAGATGGGTCCTAACGCGTCAGGACASAGCGCAGCCTCACAGAGATCCTAACCTGGGCCCTGGAAGCAACAGAGCTTTGTCAGCAATGTTATAGTAGACCTACTTCCTTCTGACACGGTGCCAAGGCTTTGGCTAAATAACACTTTCAAAAACAGGCTCTAAAAATCCAAGCCACCAAGAATTTTCAAGTCTTTCTCTCCCCTAGGAATTCTTGGTATATGAGAAATATCTATGTTGTCAACAACTAAYAAAGATAAGAAGCAAGATACCTGAAGGGTTTTACATAAATCTTTGACTAAAGGTTTTGTCTTAAGCACTTCTAAAAGGAACTATCAGTATACACAAGAGTTATGTCCTCCTTCTGAAATCTGCAAGTCCCCATCTGTCTTTGTTAGCATATACCGACAACAAAAGSGCAAAACAAACAATTCAGCTCTGATAGTTATTACAGAATTAGAGGCAGAGGGAAGGGGATCTCAGTTCCTTAAGTGATGCACAAAAAAAATGAACTCACATAATCAGTATTGATGGAAATCCTACTACCAACTGCCACGCACAAAAAACACCTGCTGGTCTTGACATCACTGCCTGGTAGGAGAACAGTTCATGAAGTTCACATTAGTCAAGCAATAYCCCTAAGATTTGGGCACATGTTGCACAGGGCTTCACCTATATTTATCTGTCTTTAAAGGCCAGATTTATACAGAGTGCAATAAAGTCCACGAACCACCCACAGCTAACAGAGAGAAAGGAATGCTGACAAGCCAGCAGTGATGGCCCTCAAGAGAGAAGAGACACAAGAGGCTGATATTGAAGTCCCAGCCAGATGTTCCCACTTCACAAATCACTGTGGTCAGATTATCTAGGGCATAGTTCTGTATGAATTGGGAGTTAAAAGTCATATCCATCCTTTCTCTCCAGACCAATGAAACTGTTAATTCCTTCCCTCACCTGCCCTCTGCGGAACACGAGAACTCTTGAAACAGAAATTCATCTACTCTCTTGCAACGTTTGTTGAGAGAAAATTGCAAAGCACCAGGGACATAAGAAATGATAAAGCTGGGTCACCATGATATTTCCTAAGAGCACAGAAGAGTAGAAGCCTCAATAGAAATCCCACTATTCCAAAAAGGAGTGGTGATAACTAAACTGGGTCTCCCAAATGAGAGATGCCACAAAACTTAGAACATGCTAAAACCTGATTGTTGCTCCGAGCAGAAAGCAATGTGTTCCTTGTTCCAGTACTTATATCCAGATTTTAACTCTGAAAGGAGAGCCATCAGGCTCTTCTGTAGCTACATATTTTCAGAATTAGAAACATGCATGTTGGTGGTAACCAAAATGCAATTGTACAAACAGACAATACTCAAATACTCAGAGATAATTTTCATAACTTTCAAAAAATTTCATATTTTCATATAACTAATGGTCTAATGCATGAGCATTTTTTTCAGTGTACACAAGTATAGGGTGACTCCAAAATTAAGAGATTTAAAAAGCCTTCAAAGCATGGAATCCAAGATCTTCATTTTGTTCCTCTTAACTAATAGAACACTTGTGTTTTATTTTCATCTCTAGTGTCAGCAGCCCCCATAGGTAAAGGTGCTTGGAAAGGAAAAGAACAAACAAAAAACCCTTACAAATTATGAATAGAGAACATGGGTTATAGTAAATGTATGTCCTCACAAATCAGCCCATCCAATGCATACCCATCAAAATCTCAGTGACAGATGCCTTTGTAACTTCTTTATGATATCAAACCCAGCCTTGGATACCTATGGAAAAGATGTACTAAAAATTTGTAAAACATTCAGAAAAGACACGCACTTTTACAAGAATTTTGCTGTTTCAGTCACAAGCACTCTTTTCCGATTACAAAGATTACAGCAATTCAGATCTGACCCAGAGAATGATGGATGACACTCTTTATACTCTGGAGTCAACATTCAAATTTTACCTATAATTTCTGCCCTCTAAAAAAATTGKGTTATACAATAATGAGGTGCTTGACTGCTGTTCCATTAAGTCTGTAATGAGACTGAATGCACAGTCATACCATTTAGTGTTTTGAATTGCTTCAACTTCAGAGTAAATACATCAACAAAGACCAAGCTGGGATATTAAGTGTAGAGCAGTACATCAAAATAAGATGTTAACTTGCTGATGTTACATGAAAATTATTTCCATATTTCACTGAAGAATTCTTCAAATGATTCACTTGTGTAATATATTATTAAATGAAGCACATAGAGGTATCTTAAACATTAACTTAATTGAAGGTAGAAATAACACAGGCAAGTACTTAATACTTATTGGAGGAARATGCCAATTCTTCTCATGAGATTTTTACCATAAGCTAGAAAGCCTGATATGAATTACATTTCCTACCTATGCTGCCTCTTAATTTTACCTTTTGCAAGAAGATGGGTATTTTGCAACATGCTGAGAAAACTGTTCCAGTCAAATTACTTCTGTAGCATTTCTTACTTAGCTACTTCCAGAATGAAGTTTCAGCTTGCTTTTTTCCATTCCTCCCCTTTTCAGCCCCCAAGCAGCCATGTTCTTCCCATCTATGGTAAGTAACCTATGACCATTTCAGACTTCTGCCAAGATTATGCTTCCAAGTGAAATAGCCTGCCTAAGAAAATTCTCAGTAAAGTTTGAATATACCTAGGTAACATTTCCCAATGACAYCACAAAGGAGCTCTTTAATTCTCAGACATCTTACAAGATGCTGTATTGCTGCAGTCAAATTGCACTGTGTCTTCAATACAGTTAATGCAGGCCATTTGTCTAATAAGAATAATTTAKGTTGAGAGGGATCTCTGGGAGTTTCTGTTTCCCATCCCTAGCCCAAAGCAGGTCTGGTTCAGATGAGTTCTGGCAGTCTCCAARGATGAAGATCCCACTATCTCTCTGGGCTTCTCTTTCAACATTTGGCCACCATCTCTGATAACAATTTACTGTAAGTTTTCTTTATTACAGCTTGTGCCTGCAGCCAAACATTCTACTGCTGTTCCTTTGAGGAGACCCAGGCTGCATCTTCTCAGATGACAGCATCAACATCACATTCCCTTAGCCTTCTCCTTGTAAYACTGAATAAAGTGAGGATCCTTCCAGGATTCCTTTGGACTTCACTGAMTTACTCAGCTGGTATGTCAGACAGTCTGGTTAACTCCATTAAAAAAATGTAGGAGTGAAAAGGAAAAAGATCACTGTAATGTTTTTTTTTTTTTTACCATATGGGCAGAAGATGGGCTTTTGAAGACTACAGTTACATTAAACAAGCAGCATATTCCAAATGCGACCTGCATCCATAAACGACTTCACAGAAAGCCATTTGCAATGACAACTTTGGCTGGTCAAACCCTACAAACAAAAATGCAAGCTCTTGAACAGGTCACTTACACACTGCCTCCACAATAACTATCAATACAGAGACAAACATGTTCTGTGGGGTGTAGCACTTCCTAGCAGTCCTTTAAGGGACACTCAAGAAAGGTTATACAAATTATTGCAAGTTTAGTCTGGCTGGTGTAATGATGTTTCTAAAAAGAAAGGTCTTAATAGAACACAGTGATAAATAGGGAAGACCGTTTAAAACCTTATTTTTCAATCCTTGGGACTTTGAATTCCTGAATAAGTCCTTTCAGTCATTTTGAACTCAAACAAATGGTATCTTGAGATTTTTTTCCCCTCATAATTCTGTTTAATCAAAGATTGCAATGAGAAAATTAAACATTTAAAGTTGCTTTTATTTCCTGATTGTTCAAAGTGGGTTTTAATTTCAGTTTGCTGTATTTTTAAATTAAAACTTTAATTWAAATTGCTGTGCAATTTTAAGGGTACATTCCCTTAGCCTTTTTTTCCCCCTCTGCTTATGCATCTGCTGTCCAGCACAATTAGTATTTCTTATTACATGATATTTAACAGTTTGCTAGAAAAATTTCTGTCTTAGCTTCAACCTGATGTCTAAAATGAAAACACTTCAAATCTGCCCATTACATGAAATTTTCCAGGAAAGTTACAGTAGTTTGGTGACAAACTTATTGAAGCAGACTCTAGTAAAGGTTCTTACTTTGTTATCAATATAATGGGTTTCTTAATTGATGCATGGATTGCAATTTTTAACTTTGCTGGAACTTGTGTTTCCTGTTGGATGCTATCCCTGCCTGTTACAAGTAGTTAAAGCAATATCTAAAGTCAGAACAGAGAAGTTGTATTTTCTATTGCCTTATTTCCAATATTCTCATGTTCATTTTCTCTTAAAAATAGTTTTGTATTTCGTACCTTTCAAAACAATAGCCTCAAACCCCTTTAAAGGCAAGATAAAAGCTCCAAGACATCAAAACCTAGTTTTGTTGTCCCCATCTACAAACAGAGAATACAAACCTTAGAATTAGACAGAGGATCACACAAAAGTTTTCTGTAAAAGAATAAAGCAGAAAATGCTACTGCAAAAACAGCTTTAAGTTAGTAAAAAAGAAAAATAGTTATGATTAYGCTAAGTTTAGTCTAGCAAAGGTTAAAAGGCCACAAAATTATCTATTTAATTTGGTTGCATCAAAACTCAAAATATTTTGCCCAAATATAATTCCATTTCTCACCCACTACTCAGACRTTTCAATTTTTGCCATGTGTAAAATAATTATATTTAAGCAAGCAGTGCTGTATTTCTGGAAATGCTAACCCTTCATTTGTAATGACCTAAAATCAAGGAACCCTTGAGATTGCCCCTCAAGCACCCACAGTCTTAAAATTCTTAAGCTGACACAGCAAAGACCCCAAGTGGGAGGAACTCATCCCTATTCTGTCACTCCAATATCTTCTTCATTTACAGTGAAATACACAATAGTGCATACAAATACCAAACAATGGGTAAAACAGCTTTACTTACCTAACAGCCATTATCCCTTAGATAATTAAGTTTTAGCTTCACATAGCACTATGACTATCAGAATTCAAGCATTTGGGTAATGCAATTTATTGCGGAAAGGGTGTGTTAAAGTAGTTGGTGGTTAGTTGCACTACAAAACCTTTAC